TGAAAAGACAACAGGGGGGGGTTGGGGGGGGGGGGGAGAGGGAAGCACACGCTGGAAACAGAGTGGAACGATACTCCCTCCAAGCTGTGGAGTCTTGTGAGCAAAAATCCTACCTTGTGAGCGACTGGCATTAAAGTTGTGAAGGAGCGATTGGGCTGCTGCATAAATAAGTCTGCCCTGGAGCCACCCTTCCTGAGCTAAGGCAAAAATGTGTGAGCCAGAGGCTAAAGAAATGTGAGCTAGCTCACACTGACTCAGCTCAGAGGGAACACTGCCGCCCATCCAGGGGATCAAAGGCCCGGAAACCCACCATGGAAATGCCTCGCCGAGGCAGCCACCGGAATGTGCAGGTCGCCGTTTCATCCGTGAGGGAGCTGTTTCAGCGCGCGGGAGGGACGAGTGGTGCAGGGGAGCTAGATGTGCACGTTCGCTCGTGCCCCTTCGATCGGGAGGGGAGGGGAGGGGAGGGGTGGCTGCTCACGTGACCACGCCCGGAGTCTCACGGAGCCTAACTACAGGACTCAAAAAAGGAAGAAATCCAGCCAGGACTCTCTTGATTTCCTCTCGCCTTCCAGGATCCCCGAGCCAATAGGATTGCTCAGTGGGAGAATCAAGCGTCTTCCATTGGCCTCTTACAAAAGGAATTTCAACTTGATGCTTCCCCCAATCTGGGGATCTTTAGAATCACCGTTGAGGGTGGAAGGAGCGATACCTCTGACCACTGGTTCGAAGTAAAGGAATACGGTGAGTGCCACCGTGAAGCTCATCTGTGTTTGGTTCTGGACTTTTGACCCGATTATAAGAAACTCTCTGTGGTTCTTTCATCGTCCCTGTCCTGTCCCATCGAGAATGCAGTCCACGGAGGAATAAAATATCTCTTGAGTCTTCACAGTGTCATCTAGAGCAGAGTCTTCCATGGACTTAGGAGGGTGTAACTCTGCTTAAGATGCCACAGGGGCGTTCAGTCGGGACCAATGCTCCCTCTGAGCTGTGGAGGCCTGTGAGCAAAAATCCTACTTTGTGAGTGACTGGCACTAAAGCTGTGAGCGAGTGATGTGGCTCCTGCATAAATTAGTTTGCTCTGGAGCCATCCTTCCTGAGCGGAGACAAAAATGTGTGAGGCGGAGGCTAAATAACTGTGAGCTAGCTCACACAAACTCAGCTTAGAGGGAACACTGCTCAGGACTGTGGCGCACAGGGGCAAGCAACCCCAAACACCCCTATGCAAGTTGCAGGTGGCACAAGGAACCTGCCAGAGGCCCTAGCAACACCCAACCATCAAGGAGGAACAGGCTGCTGACCTCTCATGAGGGGCACAAGCGGGGCTAACCACACACTGGTGTGGCCATGGCCCCTGGCATCATGCTGCTTCTGCCCATGTGTAGACTGCTATAGGAACAGGGAGGAAAGTCCCACCACCCTCACAACTCCCGAAGAGACTGGTATGAGTGGTAGGGGCCCTGGTGTAGGGTAGCCATCGCCTGTCTGTCCACCCCCAGAAGCACTGGGTGGCAGGGCCTGCAAAAATAGCATTCTGAGATCCGATGAGATGGGGCTAGCCTGGGCCACCCTGGTCAGGTTACATCTCTGGATTCGCCAGTGTATTTCAGAGATACATCAGTGTAGGGCTTAGGAGTCACCCTGGGCACTTTTGTCTTGGGCCTTTGCACTAACGGCTTGGTAGTACACTGCCAATCTCTTCGAAAGCTGAAACAGAGAATTCATTGATATTATGCTATATATTCTTTAACTTTACAAGGCTAACTGTCAGAAAGATTAATTTCCCTCAGGCAATCGAAGTATACGGTATTTCCCGCAGAAAATGAAGGTGTGGTTAGCTCAGAGTACATCTATGAAACTGAGGGAAATCAAGAACTGGATATCTGTTGGGGGGGAGTGCATACAATGACAAATCTAGTGCATAGTTTTTGGAAATCCTTCAGGGTGCTTGCTGATATAATTAGGCTGAAGTACCCTTTGGTCCCTGTGCATCTCAGATTACAAAACTACAACCCAGGTCTCCTAAGCGGATTTGATACTTTTAAACTATATTGATCGGAAACACGATAAACATTGAACATAGTGTTTTTTGCCCTCCTAAGAGTTCCTCTGGATTATTGACCAAGCGTTTGCCCAAACGTGTATTCCTTGTCCACGCTAGTCACCAGATTTGGGGTTTGCCCAACCTGACTTTTCTCACCACATTGTTTATTCTCAGTGTTGCCGACGTTTAGTGTGAAAACTGAATTACCGCAGAGGGTCTCTCCTTTTGAAGAAGAGTTCAAAGTCAACGTTTGTGCTAAGTAAGTTCTGAAGTTTAGAAACAAGTACGCACTGTATCTTTCAAAAAACATTTGTGTCCCCAAAATTACGAATGTCGGAAAGATAAGATAGTTTCCCCTCCTGGGCTGCATTTAGATGACACATAGAACTGCAGTTTATACAAACTTCAACAGTTTGATTAAAATTTGAATCCAACTGCTGGCAGCCTTATTAAGGGTGCAGTCACATGAGCAGTTTGCACCGATATTGTTGTGGTACCTTTGCAGATTTAAAGTGCACAATCAGACAGCAACACCTGCCTTCCGTGCCCCAGTCGTCTCCACCCCGTTCTGCCCCACTTTGGAAGTACAGTAATCAGGAACAAGGGAAAGTCTGGTGTTTACAGATATCAATGCTTTCACCCCACATTCCCAGAAGTCTGAACGCCTCTGGCGCGAACTCAACCCGATTGGGAAGTCTGATCGCTCTGTTCTGTTTTTGCCCCTTGGGGTTTTTTTAGCCAGTTAGCTGTGTGCACACCAGCAAGCTTTCAGCTGTCCTCTGAGGCAAGAAGAAGGGGAGGGAAGGGCAGGCTGTGAAGCCTCCTTTGTCTTTTTTCATGCCGGTTCCTCTGCCTACAGCTTTGCAGCATACAGGGTGGGAAGGGGTTAATTGAAAAGATGAGTTTTTTCAGAGGGGGAGGCAGCCTCCTCCAGCTGTCAAAACAGAGCAGTGCTTCAAATAAGCAGTTATTTAGCATATGCAAAGGACAAATTAAAAAATGGTTTATCACAGGGCAAGTGCACAGTGAGGCCACTTCAGGGCATGCTGTCTGGTCACCCCTTCCCACGATGATTTAAACCACTGCAGAGACATCTCACCAAGCCTCCAGTGTGACTGCAGCCTAATTCTCGTTAATAGGCTGGCCGCAAACCATGGCTGTTAATTAGACCGATATCCCAATTCACAAAATGTACAAAAAAGAATTGTTCGTGAAGGCATTTGGGTTATCCCTATTCAAGCATTATTACTCAGACTCTACAATCACCAAATTCGGTGGATTCATGGAGACCCTTTGATCTCCATTACACCACATAGCTATGGTGTAATGGTTCAGCTCAGGAGATGAAATTTATCAGGTTTTCCTATGCTGGTTGCCTTGTTGCCTTAAACAGATGTGTTTGCATATGCTGTTCTGCTCCCCCACCCCAATTCCACCATCCCAGCCCTACTGCTGGGAATATAAGAACATAACATAAGAGACACCAATGTTGGATCAGGCAAAAGGCCCATACAGTCCAACACTCTGTATCACACAGTCGCCAGAAATACCAGGTGCCATCAGGAGGTCCACCAGTGGAGCCAGGACACTAGAAGCCCTCCCACTGTTGACCCCCCCCAAGCACCAAGAAGACAGAGCATCACTTGCCCCAGAGCCCCTATCTATACCTTGTGGCTAATAGCCACTGCTGTCCTTGAAAAAGAGCAGTTTGTGTCAGAGTTCTCTCAGCCCCACCCACCTCACAGGGTGTCTGTTGTGGGGAGGGGAAGGGAAAGGACTCGCAGGGCTCTTTGTAGCAGGAACTCCTTTGCATATTAGGCCACACACCCCTAATGTAGCCAATCCTCCAAGAGCTTACAGATGAGTACCTGCTACAAAAAGAGCCCTGATTGTAAGCCGCTCTGAGACTCCAAGTGAAGGGCGGGGTATAAATCCAATCTCCTCCTCCTCCTCCTCCTCCTCCTCCTCCTCCTCCTCC